CTAAATTGCTTGAACAGATAACAGCTGTGATCAATGAAAAAGTTCGCAATGGAGTTCATAAACTTGTGAGCATACTTGCTGTTCACAATACAGTTATGCTCATTAATATGCTACTGCTTTTACTAATGATTGTTGCTATCGTTATCTGCTGTTTATTTCAACATTGTCGGAGTACAGCTGTATAGATAGATGTCGTGGACGAACCACAGGCTTATTCGATCGATACTCCAGCATCGGCTGAAAAGTCTCCGGAAAAAATGAAGAAGGATACAAAGTCTGATATCCTCGATGACATCGCATCAAATGACATTTTTTTTGAAAATGTTCGAAACTTCATAAAACATGGTTTCGAAGGGTGTTTTGACACTGAAAGTTGAGCCCTGAGGTCAACGGCCCATAAGAGAATTTCATTATGAGTGGAACAAAGATTAGATAAAAGTTTTTCATAACTCCAAATGTGCAAGGAAATGTATCATACATCGAAACTGAAAGATTCGTTCTCAGAATGTAATGTAACTTGTATTTGTGACAGTAGGAGAATTTCCTTCGAAACACAAGTCCAAAATACAATTCTGATTTTTTTGCTTCTGCTGGTGTGACTATAGAAAAGAGATAGCGAAGAATCTTGTATAAATTATTGTTAGTATTCGTTTTTGCTAGCGTACCGAATAAAAAATTGGAGACAACAGAAGAGGATGTGTCTCACACTCAAGTATAATAATGGAGAGAAGAAAAGTAATGATCGTAGACTAAATGAACGAGATTTTGATATGACAACGTCTCTAGTGATTGATAATTTTCTTGGAAAGTGCTGAAGCAGGCATTGTTTAAATAAGTTGGATAGTCAGGCTGAAAAATGGGAAGCGTGTGGAGCGGCGAGCTGCTCCCGGTGACGCTTTCTAGTTCACATTTAGAAACATTTCGACACCTTTGGATTTGAAATTTACATGAACACTCATCTTTCATCACTTAACTCTTCATTTTATTAGGAAAGGTAAAACACATATAAGGTATGGTGCGTCAGCGCGACCGAAGATTTCTGCACCATTTTATTGTTTAGAATGTTAGATAATCTGTTAAATGTGTATTTTATAGAGAACCGTTTCCTCTTTCCAAGCTGTATGCTTTCAACGATACCATAAAACTTTCTTTTAGACCAGTGTCAAAAAGAAACCAAAGGGTTAGTTTTGAGCGAGCTGTGCAGAAGCGAAATTCGCCCGATCATTTTGCTGAATTAGTCGAAGAAAAAGTGTTCTATTATGATCTAACCGATACAGTTCGATAGAGAAAAGGATTCTCGACAAAATGCACATTTAATAGATTATCTTATATTCGAATCAACGAAATCTATAATACAAGAGATAATATATGATAAGTGTATCCTGTATTGAATCGAAACAAATCGAATCTCTACTGTATGTTCCTCGTCCTTTCATAGTTCTCAGTACATACAGTATTACGCTACAGAAAAGTATCAAGCCTTATAAATAATATCTAAGATCTATCGCTATCATACAATGAGTTGATGAGCCAGATGATCATGCGATCATAGTCTTTTCAAAATACAGAGAACAGAAACAGTCGTACATAAGAGTGCGTTTCTGATATCAATATCATATGAATGTTACATAATAAGAAGAGATAAATCTATATAGATCTCTATGTTGGGTATATGGATTAAGAGGCTAATGTCGAAGTTCATATAGGAAGGAAGAAAGCAGATAATTGTTGTATATGAAGAGGAAGAGAAAGAGGAAAAGTATACAATCATAGATTGTCATAATACCAAATATCTATAGTTTGAAACTTAAATTCAACAGTCTACCCTTCCGTTCAATTATTCGAGTATTCGTATACTTGTGAGTGAGTAAACGGGTTCTGAAGGGACATAATTTCAGTGAGGATGAACAGAAGAGTTTTGAAAGCAGTCAAATATTCAAATAATTGAAAAAAAGACTGCAAAAATAGTTGAATAGTTGAGTCGAAATTTTGAGTTTCGCGTTACTAAAAGACGCAAGGATCATAGTAGCTATTCATAGCGGACTGCTGTTTCATGTTTGAAAAATGATCATGAATAATGGACATTACATAAATAACAAGAACGATGATAGTTGTTTGGTTAGTTTTGAAAAAGGTTGAAATTGACGAGGACCGTTCTCGAGACATCATTTAGAAGCGCAAGTTTTATCTGAAGTATAACCCAATCAGTCGAAGGTAATGCGAGTCTCCCACGACGAGCGCTATTTATGAGTTGGCTACATTAGTTGATCAAGCTTTAGTTAATAATCTCTTGGTTTTATTTTACTATATTTTCGATCAATCAGTCATTCAAAGAGCCACCCTCTACATTAGTTTGTTGTGCTGTTCGTGAACTAGAGAACTGCGTCACATATCTATGTTGCGATGACCATTTAATCGTACCCAAAACACACATTTAACCGTGAACAACAGAGGATGACAATATATTCCTAACTTGTATAGTTAGTTTGAGAAAACGTTTTCGAAATATACATTTCTTTGTCTTTTCATTCATTCGATGGTGAAGTGGGTCTGCCTCGACGAGCGTTACTTGCAAACTGTGTTACTAAAAATAGAACGTCCTCAAATAACCTATGAAATACATCGAACATTACGATAGATTGTGAAAGAACAGAAAGAAAGGAAAACAAGTTCTTTTTCTTTTAATATTTATTCACATGGTAAATGGCTCAAGTCCAGTCAACTACATTATTTCTTCGATTACCTGTCGAAATTTTTTATGAAATATGTGACTATTTGGATCTAAAAACAATTCTTCTGTCATTTCGTTATGTTTGTCGAGATTTTCATCGAATAACAAATGATTATAATCGATATAAAATTTATTTAAATACACTGTCCAAACACGATATTCAACGTATTTATCGAATGATTCAACCAAAAAATATCAATTGTTTACATATTTGGTTTATCAATAAAGAAATCATTCAACTATTTCTTTCATTATTTCCAATAAATCAATTTATTCGACTTAAAATGTTAACACTGTGGAACATTGAAGAATTTTATTTAAGAGAAATTTTATTACATTTAGCAACAATCTCTTCACTTCGATCATTTTCAATTTATTCTGTAAAACAATCGAACATTTCCGATGAAGTATCAATTCATCTTTCCAAATTACTTTTACAATCATCTCTTCGTTCTATTCGACTAATGTTGAATTTTAAAGAAGATTTTTCATCGTTTTCTTTACAAAGAATTCATATGAATAGTTGTACAGATGACCAATTGATTTCAATGATTAATAATTGTCCAAGTCTTCGTCGATTATCATTATATAGTTGTCCAATGATTTCTATGGACAAGAATTTCAATAAAAGTTCATTAACTCACTTAGAATTTTATGAAACAAAATTATCAATTGATGAACTTGAATCGATTTTACGTCTGACGCCATTATTAACTCATCTTTATATGAATAATTCCAAAAGTCGATTTAATTGTTTTCAAAGATTATCTCAATGGGAAGATTTTATTCAAATCAATTTAATCCATCTTCATACATTTCAATTTTCTTTAACTTGTGAAGATTATCGTATTAATCATATTGGATTATTACTCGATGCATTTCGAACATCATTTTGGTTAAAAGATAAATCTTGGCCAATTACTTGCGAACTCCAATGTTGGTTTCCATGGTCACAATTGACAATTTATTCATCATCAAATATCCAAACATTTTTTCCACATTGTTTCGATTACAAAACAATCTTTTGTTCAACTTCAACAATAAATAATTCATGGAATGTATTTCTTGCTGCAAACCATAATGCTTTTGCTTATCATACAGAATGGGTAAGTAACATCAAGAGATCGATCGTTTTCTATGAAACTCAATCTGAATGAGATTATTAAAGGCAGAGTTTTCTCTCATCATGGACTGCGACTGCATTAAACTTCTTAATTCGTGTTTTTCTCTATTTAGTATAGATCAATATTATCTCCATTTTTAAACAAGTTATCAGAATTGGCATTACAAATTGATGATATTTTATCAATTCAATCGTTGAAATATTTTCTATCCAGATCAAATATTTTAAACTTTGTTACTAGTATTTGGATAATCATCGATCATCCTAAATTTAATGATTTCAAAGCAATTCAAGATTTACTTAATATATCAATGTATGTTAATTCAGTTGGCATTTGTTCTAAATATGGTTATATGAAAGATTTGATAGATAAAATATTCGATAGATGCGATTGTCATATTTTAAATCAATTGAAAATCAAAACTGACGACTTAAGTTTTATGAAATGGACTATTGAACGAGTTAAAGATGTCGAGAGTTTCAAATTTCTTCATTATTATTCATTACCAACAATTTGGACAGAACTTATCGAATGGTTAACACTTAAACATGATAGAAAGTTTTCTTTTGAACACGATCAATATTCTTTAACAATAACATTTCATTCTCATATTGAGGTTGCCAATCAATTGTAATTTCTTTATGACGAACTAAATATGTATTTGTAATATTTCAAAAGCATGTAGAAGATATGAGAGCATGTCTGAGTAATATTCTATTTTCGAATACATCTTTGCAATGCGTCAAAAATAAGATTCAACCAAATCAGAATCATCTGAAGGCAAAACTTCTTGTAAGATTTCAAGTGCTTTTTCATAATATGGTGAAGTTATTGAGTATTCACATGTATTTCAGTATATTAAACCGGCATTCTTATAACACAAAAGGTTGTGGATAAAAAGATCACAGTTATAATATATAGAAGTGTGGTAGATAAGAATATTAGGAAGAAACTTATATGATGTTCTTTAAAAACACAGTAAAAAACGTCGTAAAATTTGTTAAAGACAGAGTATACTGTTTTGTCGCAATCTGTTTGCTATACTCTTCATTTTATTTTAAGTATGCGTTTTACCGCCATTCTATGCTGGCTTTTTTCCTACGTATATATGTTTTACGAAAGATTTATTTAATCTCATTTACTACTTTCCTTTGTATCGTCCGATAATAAATTGAATTCGAATGGTGATCTTAAAAATACATTCATAAAAAAGTTACTTTTGATTTTCGTCGACTTATAAAACAAGTCATTGAAATTCGTTGAAGTTTGTAGCTGTATACAAGTACGAGTAAGAGTTTGGGTCCTTTCTCTTTTACCCCTGAAAGTAATTTCATAAAAAAAACTAATTTTGTGTATTCAAAGCTGATTATGACTACATATTCGCCAAAATCTCAAACGACTCGCCAAAGGGAAATTCAGACGGAAGAACAAGGCTCTGTTGTTAATTTTTTTAACAAAGAATTTTTGTTCTTCTAATCCAGTCAGAAGCAAGCATTTCGCGAAATAACCTAAACCCACAGATATCGATTGGAGTATAGTTTTCTGGAGTTATCGAGGTCGACGATCACAAATCTGGTACTAGTTTTCTTGGATTCATTGTATTAACCTTTTTCTATCCTTCCGCTTGAAAAAATTTAGGTTATACAGATTTTCCATTACAGTTCTATCAGAGGTTACTGGTAATTGCTTAATCAAATCTCATCTCAGTTATTTCTAACTGATTGTACCTGAAACCACCAGAATGTAAGATATTAATCTTATATCAGTTTTCTTCCCGCGCATTCTTGAGTCGTTGGTTTCTATATGTGAAAGCTTTTTATCGATTTTTCAACAGAAACATGTCGATCGAAACTAATCTGGCTGGTTGGGTTGTATTGTTCGAATTCCATAGACATTAAGACGTAAATAATATTCCACACCCTCAATGAAAGAGTGAAAACATGCATGTTAACGGCTAACTATACGAGATACTGTAATGGCGCTCATATTACATGAATATGAATGGCAACAACGTGTTGATATGTCCGTGTTAGCGATAACATTTCTTTCATCTCTTCTTTTTTTTTGTGCTGCACACTTGAAAAGATGTTATCTGCAATAATATTCTATGTTATGTTGTATTATTCTCTTTCACTCCATTGATAGAAAATACCTTGCTTGTTTGTCTCCGATATGGTATCAATAGAATGTAATTTTTCATTTCTTCATAGAATACAGTTCGTTTTTTGGTGGATTTAACAAGTAAGAAAATCTGATTGAAAATATAGCTAACAGTTCAGAGAACTCGAAAAATATATTATTCTTGATAAGGATGTCTCTGGCGATTTTGGTGGAAAACATGTATGTGCTGATGGAGCTACGCTTTCGTTTGTTTCCTCCTCTCCAAAATCGCACCATAATGGAACAAAAAATGCGTCCAACGCATGCAACCGAGATCATCATTATGATTTTTTTTATGTATCAGTAGAACTACAAGTACGCATTTTTCTTGAAGAATAGCGTATACTTGTAAAATAACTTTCTATTCGATGAAAATTCAAAAAGATCATTACCTTATGCGTTTTGCAGCTATCACACGGCATCCTATCACCTATATGTCAAAGAGTCGAGATATTGTTATGCAGTTTCTGAAGTCTTCTTACAATATTAGTTATCCTATTGGCTGTACTTTCGTTATCTGTGAAAAAAGAACGTTAAACAAGCTCTGCACAAAAAGATACTCACTCTTGTATCTTAATTTTTATTTAGTTTTAGATAAGTTTACAACAGTCATTACAAACTTGTTCATGAATCCTCGAGTTTTCGATTTTGCAGCAAATGATGATAATATCTCTCCAATATATGGTTATTTGGATTCTCCTTTGTTAACACTCGAAGACGCTGTAAAACCAATAAGTTCACAAATTCCATTCCTAAACGCCAGCGTAACCTATGCTCTCGATAAATGTCGATTTCCCTCTGACGGTCTCACTCAAAATCAATCTGCATCTATATATCTTTATACGATGGAAGATCCGAAAATATATCAGCGTTTAAACCGTGCGATTCAAGACAAGAATCGATCGAAGTTAAAACCATGGTTTCCTTATATGAAGTTATTTCATACGGCTTTGGAACGTTTACCGTCAACGTCAACAATGGTTGCTCGCGGAGTCAACCAAAATTTGACAGCCGATGTGAATCTCTACAAACCAGGCAAAACATTCTACTGGTGGCGTATCACTTCGTGCAGTACCGCCCTCGATGTTGCTCTGCGTTTTGCAGAGACAACCGAAACACAAAGAACATTTTTCATAATCAAATGTACCAACGGCAAGAAGGTAGCAAACCACTCCTCGTTTCCTGACGAAGCCGAAATTATTCTTATGCCTGGAACATTTCTACAAGTTACTGCTGGTCCTATTTTACAAGACAACGGTAGCATGTACATAATTCATCTTCAAGAGAGTTCTTCTAAAGCGTTAAAATCTCCATCACCACATTTACCGTCTGTATTCCTCACTACCAGTGTGTCCTTGTCCAAAGTAAAGAGCACAGCGTCACCAGTTCAACAATCCCAGCCAATAAAACTTCCATCTATTAAATCATCGATTGCCTCAGCAGCATCAGCGAACTCCAGTACACAAAAAGTGACACAAACGTATTCAAATGGAAACACTTATTCAGGTGAGATGTTAAATGGAACACAGCACGGTCGTGGTGTGTATACTTGGATCAGTGGTGATCAGTATGATGGAGAGTGGAAAGAGGGTGTTCGTACTGGGTACGGAATCTATAAGTGGCCTAGTGGTGACGTTTACAAAGGAAATTGGGTTCAAGGAAATATGGAAGGAAAAGGAAAAAAGACCTATGCCGGTGGTGGTTACTATGACGGTAACTGGAAAAATGACTCGTTTAATGGATATGGTGTTCGAAAGTGGGCTAGTGGATACAAGTACAAAGGGAATTGGTTAGATAGTGAAAGACATGGTCATGGATCGCAGACTTTTGACAATGGGACATACACTGGTGACTGGGTGAAGGGTAATCGAGTGGGACATGGTACTTACACATGGAAGAGTGGAGATGTATATGATGGAGAGTGGAAAGATGATGTTCGTACTGGGTACGGAATCTATAAGTGGCCTAGTGGTGATGTTTACAAAGGAAATTGGGTTCAAGGAAATATGGAAGGAAAAGGGAAAAAGACCTATGCCGATGGTGGTTACTATGACGGTAACTGGAAAAATGACTCGTTTAATGGATATGGTGTTCGAAAGTGGGCTAGTGGATACGAGTACAAAGGGAATTGGTTAGATAGTGAAAGACATGGTCATGGGTCGCAGACTTTTGACAATGGGACATACACTGGTGACTGGGTGAAGGGTAATCGAACAGGACACGGAGTTTACAAATGGAAAACTGGTGTTTATTTTGACGGACAATGGATGGAAAATAAGATACATGGCACAGGTAAAAAGTACGATACTGATGGAGCTATTGAGCAGCAAGTATGGGAAGACGATCGTTTGATTTCATCAATTACTTTAAGAAAATAACGAAAATATTAACTTCGAGTGTAAAATATCATGCAATTTCTTTGAATTACGTAAAAATATTCAAAAGAGAAAATAGAGACACACAACACATGTATAGCTCGGAATTCACATTAAGCATTCAAATCTCTCTTGAAATCCTGACAGATAAATCATGTTACTCATTTTGGGATACTAAATCATTCTTTAGCTTTTTCTCTATTGAAGTTAAAATGTTATTCGTGGAATTTGTACAACAGATTTTTGCATAGTACATGAAAGCCATTTGATCTGATGCCTTTTGTCATCGCTTCACACTCATTATAGACTTTCATAGAACTCCAAATTTTAAGGAAACCCAGATAAAGATTTGTGCGTTTCTTCTATCAGTGATACATCAAAATATGTGCTATTACTTTTTGTGATGTTAATTTATGAAATATTGTTGTTCTGCTTTCTTTCCCGAGAATTTCGAAACGTTGAGCTATATTCGATAATTGAAAAATAGACTGCAACAGCCTCTAAAATAGGGTTACTATTTTAAAAAACCATCTGAAAAACTGATAAAAATACACGAGGGAGTCATTGTAGTACTCAATGCAAAGTATCGTCATCTGCTCGTTCGAACAGTAAAAACCGTAACTTGCGATTTTGTTTCTAATAAACGTTGTTCAAAAATTGCTCATCTGATTTTATTTGAACATGGGTGTTACGTAATCACAGCACCATAGAAACAAAACATGTATTATCGAACTTCTATGATTATGAGATAAATCGAAGAAGAATCGAATACTATAGAAAACATAAAGTTCTATTTAAAAACTAAGTATTGCAAGAATCTGATAATTACAATACATTAAAGTAGTTCAAGTCAATAGAAAGTGAATACACGATAAACTAATTAAGTTTATACCCATGTAAGACTTGCGCTTGGTGCATATCTAATTTTTATCTTTTATTATTCACAGACTAATAACGAATAAATGAAACATTAGGGATATAAAACTATATCCATTGATGGACATAGTTTGACATACAAGATCAGAATAATCAACAGAGAACTAACAGACATAGAGAGAAAAACTGAGATCAAACAATCATTATTTTACATCTTCCATTCTTTTAAAAACCATTTTCGCGCAAATGTTCACTCATTCTTTCCACATTCATAACGGCATTTACACGTTGAAACCATCCATCATACATACCGATGATGACAGATTGTATGGTTTTAACAACAACCACACCACCATACCCATTCTTGCCATTTATAAAATGATCGTCGGCCTAAAATAAATGTGTGTTACAGTAAAAAAAGATAATTTTCCTTTACTTCATGTATTCAATCATTAATGAAGTTAAAAAAACTCACCCTTGTACCGATATATAATACTTGACACCACGAACAGTAGCGCCAGACGCAGAGGCTTTCGATGGATCCTTAAATAAGTTAAGAATAGCTATAGTTACCTTCACCAGCTCTGTAACAGATAGAAAATGCATAAACAAAGAACATCGAAGATTGAACTAATCATTTACAGCAGAGAAAACGTACTGGATTTAGCCCAAACACTTTCATCATGGCCCAGAATGGCTGCACCACTCATTCCCGAGCACATAAGTTGATCGATATATCCTTGTCAACTGCTTCTTCCTCTTCCTAATTCCTTGGAAACCTTCTCATATTCAATGAAACTTTATATTAAAAAAAACAATGTTACTTTGTCTACTATTCGCAATAGTATGGGAATCTTGATCATCTCATAGACCGGCCAATGAACCTTTTTTCGAATGATATTGTTGCCGAAGATAATTCTCTTGATCCCATCCATGAATATTAATTCTTCTAGTTGCAGTCAGGAAAGACAAAATAAGCTGATGCATTTCTTCGCTTTGTTGTTCTAATTCACGAATGTATAAACGTATGTATGACGATTTATATAGCCTTCTGCATATCGAACGTCTACTTTATTATAAAATCAATTGGTCTTTCCTTTCTAGAGAACGAATATATCTGTAACAAAAGGAAAGAAAAAATGATGTGTAGTTCATGACCTGTTCAGAAATGAATATAGTATGATTGATTACATAGTAATTATGTACGTATCATGAAAAAATTGTTTTTCTTTATAATAATACAGAGAGAATATTTATCCATGACGCATGATCGGTGTACGGTATTCATAGTTTTGTTTCTTTTCTTTGATTACACTTATTTTTTCAAAATACTGAACTCAATGAATTTGACGTGTGTCAGTGTTATGTCTACACCTGATTGCTTTATTTCTAATTCACCGTGCATGCAAGAAACGCCCACAAAAAACTGACTTCAATGATATACCGAATTCTTTACAAGAAAAGTTCAAAAATGATCTTTGTCAATTCTTATACTATACTGCGAATTTTGATGGATCGAAAACCATGGCTGCTTCTGTTTAAGATAACACAGACGTCAAAACGTCTGACATGTTAATTATGATGGATTATTTAAAAAAATATGTTTTCAAATCAGATCATTATTGACTTCTGACATGGTATCGCATAACAATCTACTCTCTTTGGCCATATATAACTTATAATATATTCGAACTTTTGAGTTTCGCTATGCCTATCGGATTGGCATTACGCAATGGGGAAACAGCGGACTTCTATAGTTGAAGTGACTTCAACTTACTTTACACGTACTTTAAGCTAGTTCGACTACTTCAAGTCGTTTTTAGCAGTTTTGAACTCGCGAATAAGCGTACATCAAGTAGAAAGTCATTCAAATTGCGACCCAATTTCATTCCGACTACGAACTAACCGAAGATTTTGAGTGTGAAGGCGTGGGTGTGGATATCTATTCATCTTGCACACTCTCAGCCTTTTACTGACTTAGGTTCTCAGTGTCACCCACATCCACCCACACCCGTTACTTGTGTTATTCTTTCATTTTATCATTATGATCACAATCGAGAGAAATAAAGCATTTCAGCAATAACAAAATATTGTCTTATTATTTTCTTCATTTTTTTCTTTACACTAAATGCTCATTCAAGTGACTAACAGTCAATGTAAATGCATATTTGGTATGTTGAATCTCTTGTGGAAAGTTCAGAATTGAAATAATATAATTGTTTTGATATCACAACAAATAAATGGCTGATATTTCGAGTTCTTTTCTCTTATCATTATTACGTATGACATTTTACCTATAAGAAAATAGAGCAAAAAATAGATTAGTGATAAGTGACACAATAGAACGTGACTTAATAATTGAGTATATAACGCAAGTATTTTAATAACAAATAAAACGATCATCAGCGTGCGTATTAGGACCGAAGTTTCTTCCTCTGTTATATTTTTTTAATCATCATAATGAGTAGGAAAAGATAGGATATAGCTGTATTATCTATTTTATCCTTCAAAGACACGTTTATAATAATATCATTACAAAAGTACCTGAAAATAAATGAAGTAAAAAAATCTTCTCCTTTTTCGTGTTTAAGTTAGTGAACTAGAACAAATTAGAAAAAAACATTTTTTTAATTGCATCAATTACAATGTTATTAAATAGTGCATAAATTAGAATTAATATATTCTACATTTCATATGTAACCATAGCAGAAATACAAAATAACTTTTGATGAATATATCAAAAGAATGGTCCTTTATCAGGAGCTTAAAATGCATTAGTAAATTATCGAAGATTATCTGATATTATAGTTTTCTCGCTTCAATTATTTTCGCAAAAATATATATGTTCACAAAACTGAAAATATTTTTATTAAATAAAAATAAAATGGAGAATATTATTACAAGCAACACACCAAGAAATCTTGAAAATACAGTTGATATTATTACTATTAATTTGGTCATATATGGTGGAATCTTTCTATTATTAATTGGAAATCTTGGATGTATTGGGAATATATTCGTATTTCGGTCACGAAAATATCGTGGACAAGCTTGTTTTATTTATCTATTTTGGGAAACAATTGCTAGTTTATTCATTTTAAATTGTTTTCTCTTAACACGAATATTAGAAACTGGCTTTAACATATCGTGGCGAGATACATCAGATATATTTTGTAAAATTCGAGAAGGTCTCTCATTATTTATGTATCAAAGTGAGAATACAATGTTTTTATTTGCTATATTAGACAGAATTCTATCGGCTCAACAGTCAAATAGTAAGTTATAATTATCTTTTATTTTTGTAACAATCAATCATTTTTTTTCTTCTTAGAATTACGACAATGGAGTAATCGTGTTTCTCTTGCTTACAAAATGATAACAGGAAATATTCTTGTTTGGTTACCAATTACAGGTCATCGATTCATTTTCTATACAAATGTATATGGATACTGTTGGTCTCAAGAAGGATTATATAGAATTTTTGATACTTATCTGGATGTATCATTTTCTGGAGTGGGTTCACCTCTACTTGTGATTATATTAACTGTTTTACTTTGGTTTACTGTCCACAATGTGAATAAACGGCGTACTGTTCTTCTAAACCATACAAGAAATCAAGATATTGATTCACAATTAACGATCATGTTATTCTTACAATTGCTTCTTGCTATTATCAATTATGTTCCGTATGGAATTGGTTATCTGTATTATATGATTACTTTTGAATGGACAAAATCATCTTTTCAATTAGCTGTAGAGCAGTTATTCTATACTATCGTTCGATTATTTTCTTATGTATTTCCTGCTGGAACTTTCTACGTATCAATGTTTTCAAATCGTAGCTTTCGAAAAGAATTTTTCAAATTATTTAATAGACAGAAAGCAAGAATTTATCCTGCAAACAACAAAAATAGTGTCAATCAATTAAATATTCGAACTATTAATGCATAATCGAACTTGTTCTTTTCTCCCATTTTAAACATAAAAATATCATATCAGGAAATAGATTCTTTGTTTAGTTGTTTTGGCGATATAAAGAAGATTTATAAACATCACAACAATTTTTTTTATCAACATTTGTATCCTATCCTGATTTATTTTGTATTGTTTATTTGAAAAAGTATATTTCATTTCGTGAATGAATTTGTACAAAAGAAAAATAACAAAATGCTCTTATCAGTTGGATAGATTTTAAGTTCCCAATAAAATCAGTTATATTACTTTTTACTGAAATTATCATTATATCTTTTATATCAAAATGTCAATATAATCCTCGAATGAATTATTAGATTGTCAACCTAGTTTTAGCGTTTTTTTTCAAAAATTTTATTTTTATTTTTTCACTTCAAAAGTACAACTAGTTTCCAGTTACATATTTACCATTGCTATCTACCACTTGTCGCCAACGTTCTGGCAGAGACATGATTGTTAGATCCGTTTTAAACTAAAATTATGTTTATTGTAAAACAGAAATAGTCACACAGCTGAACGAACATCCTACCAAAGCACATCAAGTTTATATAGAGTTAATAGACTTAGAAAATACCAACGATACAGGGAAAGAATATGACGTAAGGAACGAAAGAGCACATATGATGAACATATGACATGACGTCATGTAGAACAAAAGAAGATATGCAGGACAATTCGTTATGGTAGTCTGTTGGAGCCAAGTCTGGAGAATGAGGTGGATGAGGAACGATGATCCAGCCAAGCTTTAATAATTTTTTCACGGGTTCGACTTTGCAATATGTGGTCTTGCGTTGTCATGCAAAAAATAAACTCGATCCTGTTCTCTCTTGAGATTTTCAGCTACCCGATCCAATTGTTGACAGTATAGATCAGTAGTGATGGGGTAACCATTTGGTAGAAGTTCCGAATGAACAACTCCTTTAATACCCCACCAGACACTCAGCATCAACTTCTTAGGATGTGGATCAGTCTTCGATGTCGGTACGCCTGTTTGCCCAGTGCTCAACCACTGACGTCTACGCGTGTAATTAACATACAACGCCCACTTCTTATTGCTAGCAACCAGATTGGATAACCAGTGATAGTTGCGATGAGATGTGATTAGGTCCATACATGTATCAACTCTCTGTTGCAGTTGATGTGATGATAATTCATGAGGTATCCCTACTCCGTATTAGGGGTGGCACATTTAGTATACTTTTACTTTAGGTAAATAGGGTAAAGTAAATATAGTTATTTGTTTCTGAATATTAAAGTTATATTAAAATATCAATATTTACTTTACTGAAATAAATAGTAAATATCTAAGTAAGTGCTCAGTCTTACCTTGGCGAGATATTGATTCGTTTTTAAAAGATATCGGTGGACTTACTGCTGAGACTTGCAACAAATGGAGCACAAATATAATCGAACAAGACTTGGAAGAATTTCTATAGGACAACAGAGGTGGCATAAATGAAGAAAGATTTTACGACACTTATCTCGAATTAGAAAGTTTAGAGAAATTATATGCTTTGGATGAGTGTGAAAGAAAATCAGCATCTTTCGCTTCTGTTGAGCTAGCCAGTTATTTAGATCATGAATATTATAAGTTAACTGGAGAGGTAAGAAGTATTTTGTTTCTTCTGTCTACTTGTGGATTTTACTGTATACAGACCAAAACCACAAAAGAATTAATTCGATCAGAGCAAGGTTGCTGTCGAGACCTGCATCGTTGCGGGTGTAAATTCGATAAGAATACAGCGAAACCATATTGGGCTGACCATGAAAGACCTGACGTTGTCGATGCGCGAATAAAATTTGTTAAAAATTTTGTACCAAATCAAGATAAATATTATCGAGTTGAAGAAGGAAAAGATCTGCGATGGAACATTCCAAAGAAAAATGGAACTGTTCTGATATGTCAAGACTTTTTCACACTTTTAAAAGATAGAATTTTTCTTTCTATAGTTGACGATGAATCATGTTTCAGAAGTGGTGAAACGTCTGCTAAACGATGGTTCTATTCAGGCGATACTATCTCGTTTTTCAACAGGGACCGGGGGCGTTCGCTGATGGTATCAGACTTTCTGATTGCACATCCTGAAAATTCTTTCTTCCAGCTTTCTCAGGATGAATGGACAGCAGCTGTAAAGAAATATCCGGAATTAATCGATGATGATGGAATTCAATATATCGAACGATCAGTGTCTGGATCGATTCAGGTCGATTACGGTGGATATTTTGATAATGATGCGGTCATTAATCAATTCACTCGTTTATTCAAAATGTTACCGTTCAGAAAAGCTTACAACAATCGCAAGTTTCATGTTGTTGTTGTTGTTGTTGGCAACGCTCGCACGCATAGTACTAAACAATATTCTGTTGAAGATTTTAGAATGAAGCTCGGAACTCGATGTTCAACTGAGAAAATATTCTACAGAGATAGGCATGGCAAACAACTTACCATTGACTGCTTTTCCACAACTGGTGTAAACAAAGGGCAATCAAAAGATTTACTTAACTTGGCTAAGGAGTTGGGCATTGACAGTCCACCAAAAGTAAAATTAGAAGAGCTGAAACTTTGTTTCACTTTTCTTATTCGTACTCGTTTATACTCATTATTTCCTTGTTTAAAGGTCAGTTAAAGCTAATAAAGTTTATTTCTCTTCTTTCATATAGTCGTTCATTATATCCTCAACGTTTCTTTTTTAATTGTTGAAAAACAAATAGATAAAGTTCAGATTGAAAAGTATTTTCTCTTATTCAAAGCAAAGCTCTCCAGTAAAACTTAAAAAAGCAATAATCAATTCAACACACATTGATCTTTTCAGTCGAGAGTAATGCGAGTCACTCTCGACGAGCATTATTTATAGATATCACGGAATGGTTTTCAGGCCAATAAAACAATTGCATATATTTTTCGTGCAAACGCTTCAAAATTATGATTAGTCAATGTATCCATGTCAATTATTAGATATCGATAAATCTCAAACAGAAAATAGGCGTGAAAACGGCTTAAAACTGCAAATTTGTACTTAAAACACGTACAATTGGGAAGGTCAGCGTGTACACGGCAATAATATCGATTTTCTATGCGATTATATACTAAGAAATGATAGAGTTTGCAATTTTTCGCGTTTCTTTGCCAAAAACAATCGGAATCTTAGTGTTTTCACGCCCATTCTGTTTTACACGCGTGTAATCACTCAAAAAACGAGATTTTTCGGCGTGAACACGCGCTTTTGGTAATTCTTGTCTACTTGGGTACTTTTGGATAACCCTAAGTAGAAGACATGATATTAAACAATAGATGAATATTGTGCATTACCATGATATTCGTCAAAAAGTTATTAATAGCCCATTACAAGTTAAAGAACCAGTTGATTATGGTCATAAAATGTTTATTCATTTTACTTATTGTTCTAATATGAGGAACATTCCTAAAAAATTCCATAATCTTTGGCTCAAATACTTTTCTGAATCACCAATCAATGATATTACGCCAGTATTATGTACACGTAATTCTAACCACTGACAACAATGTCTAGTACATACTCGCAATTCATGAACAGACATATTCTTGCCCTTTTCAAATATCACATGCATCTAGATTGCCCTTTATTATCTCTTAAAATTTCCCTTCGTTATGTCTGACAATTTCTCTTTACTTCAAACTTTCGTTTATTTCTTATTTTTTCGTTTTTTTAAAAATGCAGAGCGCTGGTGAGTGTTTTATTTATTTTCTCAAATAAATACACGAAACGCGTCGACGAAGCAAATTCTGCATTTATTTTTCATTAGAAATCCATTAATTCTATATATATATATTCATTATTTGGTATTGAAGATCGATTGCTGAAAAGCAAGAGTTGAAATTAGCAGAGTAATCTGTTTCATATTGATTTAAACCCCTCCCCGCAATAAAAGGCCCCGGGCCTTCTATAATGGAAAATCAAACGAATCGTTTTTGGGGGCCTTCTAATTGGGGAGGCCTTACTAATAAGGATTTTCCACCTAGATTATTAAGAAAAATAAAAAAATCTTTATTAAAATTTTATTTTTTCATTTCATCGATTCAAACCATAAATACAAAGTAGAAAAAAGTTGAAAATCAATACATATAATTTTACATAATATGTGTGTATATAAAAGTTACTTTTTCTTCCATAATTGAGACAACTTCAGTTGTTTACAATGTGCTTTTGATAGTATTCGAAGGTGCTCTTCAGTCGCTGCTGTGGATCGGTGTGAAGCTAGCACCATTTAGCTAGCACCATCAAACTAAGGATTTCCTGAAAACGAATTCCGGTCGATGAAACCAAGTGTATTCGATGCAGAATTTAATTCTGAGTCCAATGGTGACATTTTTATTCACCGGAAAACGTTCGGAGAAAAATTTTCTTTGATCTTTCTTTATCCTCGACACATGTATATGCATCATTTTTCGGCCGTCGGCACGCAATATCTCTGTCCAGAACGAATTCCGGTTCATGGAAAAGAGTCTATTCGACGCAGAATTTGATTCTGCATCGACTGGTGCCACTTTTATTCACCGGAAAACGTTCGGGAAAAAGTTTTTCGAATTAAAAAAAATATTTGTACATATATATGCGAAAAAATAAGAATTAAGGTAAGCTCTATACCGAACGTTTTCCGGCGAATAAAAGTGGCACCAGTGGATGCAGAATCAAATTCTGCGTCGAATAGACTCTTTTCCATGAACCGGAATTCGTTCTGGACAGAGATATTGCGTGCCGACGGCCGAAAAATGATGCATATACATGTGTCGAGGATAAAGAAAGATCAAAGAAAATTTTTCTCCGAACGTTTTCCGGTGAATAAAAATGTCACCATTGGACTCAGAATTAAATTCTGCATCGAATACACTCGGTTTCATCGACCGGAATTCGTTTTCAGGAAATCCTTAGTTTGATGGTGCTAGCTAAATGGTGCTAGCTTCACACCGATCTGCTGTGGCATCCTCTTCGATGCGAGTTGTTGTATCATTATCATTCTCATCATCATCTAGTTGTATTTCAGGTACACAACTAGGATCGTACTTATAACCAGGTAGAGTTCGTGGTGTCACAATTGAATTGTTACACCAAGTATAACCGATTTCTAAAAAGCCTTTTTTGAGATCAATTGATTTTAACGTTCGTTTCCAAGCTTCCCATGTAAGACGAGTGCACAAAACCCGAGATTGAGAAGCGGTGAGCTTCAGTGCAGTTCGATTTCCATTCTTTTCAAGAAATTCCTCGGTTGCATTGAAATAATTAGATTTGAATGTTGAGAAGACAAGTGTATCGAGCAATTGCAAGTATTGTGTGCAACCTTTGGGAACTACTGCAACAACAACACTTTTTCGACGAAGACTTTGTGTAACTTGCGAGTTTAAATGACAACCATAGGAATCGGTGATCATGAGTTTTGGATTACCATCATTTATCTAAAACATATTAAGCAAGATATTTTTACTCTCGAAGGTTAGTAACCAACACTTACTTGACCATACCAGTAATCGACGAATTTGTGCATGGTTTCGGTATTCATCGCCGCTTTTTGAGTAAAGAAAACTTTGACATTTTTTGAATATTGGTTGGTTTCTTGACTGGATATACGACCTTTACCCCTGAATAACAATGTAGGACCAACTCGATCATTTCCTTTGGGAAAAATCGTGAGAATCACAGTTGCAAAACGCTACAAGGTAAAATTGGTTGTATTAGAACCACTGACGTAGTGTCTTTTTATTCTTTAATTTATCATCAATGCAAATGATTTAAACTCAATTAAAACTTACTTTTGAACAAATAGGATTTTCCACTTCGTTATCCACATTAACGTAATTTAAAGTTCGACTAGTTTGATCACCAAACAAGGATATTGGTGATTCATCAAAGTTGCAAATGTCCCGTGGGAGAAATGCACCCATATCTCCTCTTTTTGATCCCCACGTGCTTGATCGTCGAAGATAGTTGTAAAAGTTTGTAGCTTTTTCATGTGCTTCGGATAACGGTTGTAACGATAATGATATCGTTCATCTCTTTCTGTTCTTTATCCTCTCACCTCTATATCATACTATCTCCGGGTCATCTCTCTCTTTCCTCTTCTCTATATAAGCGCGTGTCTTATTGTGAAAGAGATACATTCTGGTCATGTAGAGTAGTCAATAAACATCTATACCGTGAGAAGCGGTCAACTACTCAACCAGTTTGTCATTACAACGGTATCTTTTGANTCTCTTTCCTCTTCTCTATATAAGCGCGTGTCTTATTGTGAAAGAGATACATTCTGGTCATGTAGAGTAGTCAATAAACATCTATACCGTGAGAAGCGGTCAACTACTCAACCAGTTTGTCATTACAACGGTATCTTTTGATTTCTTTTTGGACGTTGTAGAGATAAATTGTGTCTTTTCATGAATCGTCGATACCATTTGAGAGAAGGTATTTCATGTTTCAGTTCCAATGACAATTGTGTACCACATCGAACCAATTGTTTAAAAGAAATTCTTTCACGTCGAATTTCATTCGATGCACCATTCAGATCTGGAGGTGTTCGACGTTCTTTGAACCATTTTATCAATCGATCATCTAAATCAAAATATTTCAATTTGCTTCCTGCACCTTTGAGTCTTTTCCGTTGACCTCCTGCAATGAAAATAGTAAATGAATATTAGAAAATGATCCATCTGAGACACAATGTCGAAATCGACAATATTTTATTGATGATTAGCTTACCTAATCTCGATGATTGAAGCTTCAGCAGACCTTCTTTCTGTTTTATCCATTCTGACAATTGAAATCTGGTACATCCATGAACTTTTGCTATTGTATGTTTACTCTTTGATTTCTCATAATCTTCAATAACCAATAATTTTTCTTTGATAGACCATGCTCGACGCTTACGCTTCTTTGATGATCCACTATTATCTTGATCAGTTGAAGGAGACATGGATGAATTTTCGATCGAAATAATAGAATTTAAGTTTTCATCACTGTTATTTGATTGAACAACAGGATTATTTGTTTCTGTTGGATAATTCAAAACGGTAATATCTTCATCACTAGTATAATCAGAATCTAAGCATAGATCGTCGATATGAACCAAATCATTTTCTTGTTCATCACGTATAGAAGTGACTTCAAGATCACTGTCATCTTCTTCTGATGAAGATGAACTATCAGTAAAATCAGTAGGTGCAGGCAGTGAGAAGCAAAACGTGTCCATCTTTTCTTCACTCATGATAATCGACAGGTCGAGATTAATGCAGAAATATAAATTCAATTAAAATATTTTTTATGTCTTTGTTCGTCCAGTCACCACAGACTGGTCATTGTCCGTGGACTTAAAACAACTATCCATATAGTGTACAGTGTTTTGTTTTTCTACGATTTAATATTAGAAAGGAAAAGATGGCGCTATAATATAGATATGTATGTGCTTATACGTATATAAAAAGGAAGAAAGACAGAAAAGCCATATTCTTTACTTTTGATAAATATGGATACAATATAAAGCCCGGGCCTTTTAATACGACAATAAATCAATCCAGTTTGAGGGGCCTTCTAATTAGGGAGGCCTTTTTATTCTGGGAGGGCCTTCTATTGCGGGGAGGGGTTTACACCCACACCCACCCTCACCGTCACCCACACCCTTGTTTAGGTTTCAATCTGATCCAGATATCTCCAGTATTTTGCGTATGTACATCATTATTGTTGAATCTGTAACATGAGTACAATCGGTAAATTAATAAATCAGATGAATACATGATAAATTACAAAAACATGCGAGAGTTGATAAAAGAAGTGATTCACTTTTATTGCAATTCGTTTTAACAAAATTGACTCGAGTTGTACAATTCTGATATGATTTACAGGAACATCCTTCATTATAATTTCATCTTTGTAGTTATCTGAATAAACTATAAATTCATAATTTGTTCCATTATTTATATTTCGGATTAAGAAGAATATTTGATCAATAAATGTAGACTTTTTTCAAAAGATTTTTCTGATAAAATTTTAAGAGTAACAAGTAGAGAGAAAAGAAATTATTGAATATAATTATGAACTGAGTTCATAGAAAGTTCACATAGATTAGTGAGAAATTGTGAATGGGCTAAGAGAAAACGTCAATAATCTTCTATATGATAAAGAGAAAGATCAGAAACGAGATTTTGTGTTAGATTCATTCACCGTTCTTTTAAAACGAATTGACTTGTATTGATTGCTTCAGTTATATCTTCGTTATATAGATTGATTTTTTTTCAGAAGAAAACTTATTCAAACGACGACACAACATTTACTAATGGCAAACAGAAATAGGAAAAGAAAACGATCTTCACAACTTCCGTGTATTTCTCACAGAATGTGCACAAGTCTTAGATACACATATGGATAGCGATAGTTTAGTTTCTAGTTTTGCTTTAGTTTCTTTTCTTGTCTTACTAAATAGAGAATTGTGATATACATGAAATCATCACTTAGCATAATAAGAAATGCGTCGTTTACAGCCTATATTGCCGAGGAAATGACAAATAAATAATCTCTGGTTGATGTTATTCTGATGGAACTTGAAAAAAATCGATGATTTTTTTGACGTAAAAAATATCAAATGATTCATTTGGTTATTTCAAACTTAATATTTCATGTCAATCCTTGAGGGTGGCACGAAACGTAATTCATCCGTCTACGAAATTCTTAGGTAATTAACTTTACGATAGAATGATATGAGTAGTTATTATTCGACAAATGTAATCCTGGCTTTCTGACAAAACGCCTACTATATTTGATAGAACTTCCTTTTTTGATTGTCATTTGTAATTCGATCTAATATTTTAATACCGAGATTGACTTATACTCGATACCAACTATAAATACTGATAGAATGACAATGAGAGTGTATCGTAAAACACTTTGTGTTAAATAAAATAATGGAACATAAAATTGTCATTCTTTTAGCAGTTGTCCATCTTTTTGGTTCAAATTTTGGTTATGTTCATGATTATCGTCTTTCAGGTGTAGTTGATGTTACNGGAACTGGCCGACAGTTCCAGTTCAAATGAAATGAACTGATCGATAGCTCAAGTTCAAATGAACGAGAACTGTTCAAACAGTTCCAGTTCATTGAGCGGAGATGGAGTTGTCACACACCTAATTATTTATAAAAAAAAAGCAGTATTCTAGTAAAATGTCATCTACATCATCATCATTATTAATCAAAACATTATCACTTATACAAGAACAAGCTTCACCCTATCTTCGTTATACAGAACTTTTTCTTGGTGTAATTAATTGTTCTCTAAATATTTTACTTTTTTCTCGACGACAATTTCGAACAATGTCGGTTTGCATATGTAAGTGATTTGTTTTTCTTATTATCAGAAAATGAAAAGTTTCACTTACACATATTAACATTTGAAGTTTAACATTTTTTCATAGATTTGTTGTCAGTATCTGTATCAATGTTCATTACTTTAAATATTGGTCTTATATCTGATATTTATGCAATATATTATGGAGATTTCATGTTAACATCAATTATCTTTTGCAAAATTCGAACATATTTTCAATAATGGGCTTATATGATGATGCGTTGGTATTTAGTTGCCGCTTGTTTTGATCGATTTGCACTTTCATCACATAATAGACGTTGGCAAAATTTTGCTCGAGTGTATATTTCATATCGTGTTATTATAATAATTTCAATTATTTGGTTGATCTTACCTATACCTCTTCTCTTTTATTATAATATAAAAGGACCTGCCTGTGCTGCTGTATATAACATTGCTACACAATATTATCATGCTATTTTTACTCTTATTACGGGATTTATTTTCCCAACTGTTATCATGATTATATTTGCTTTTCTTATTTACCATAATCTTGTTATTAAAAGATAAAATAACGCTCGTCGAGGAAGACTCGCATTACCCTCGACTGATTGGGTTATACTTCAGATGAAACTTGCGCTTCCAAATGATGTCTCGGGAACGATCCTCGTCAATTTCAACCTTTTTCAAAACTAACCAAAGAACTGTCATCGTTCTTCTTATTTATGTAATGTCCATTATTCATAATCATTTTTCACACATGAAACAGTAGTCCGCTATGAATAGCTACTATGATCCTTGCGTCTTTTAGTAATGCGAAACTCGAAATTTCGACTCAACTATTCAACTATTTTTGCAGTCTTTTTTTCAATTATTTGAATATTCGACTGC